AAAATAAATTTCAATTTAATTGACAATTTCCATATAAAACGAAGCCAAACGAACACTAAACTTTGATGAAAAAATAGTTTTCGAGCAAATTTTTTTTTTTTTTTTTTAACTTTTTGACAATGTTAACAAATTTCATAACCAATTGTAATAAAAAATTATTTTAATAGATAATTTCTATATAAAATACAGTCAAACGTGAACAAAAAAATCCAAAATTTCAAAAATTTTCCGGGTAGAAAATTATACCAATCAAACACACTTGAAATTATTTTCCCTACAAAATATTTTCTAGGCAAATCTTTTCCCTGTAAAACATTTTATTTCCACCAATTTTTCAACCTTCCAATCAAACGCACCCTAATTGATTGGAGGTGAAACCCCAGATAGGGAAAAAGGAATGGACAATAAAGAGTTAAACACCAATTGCACTGTCCTTTTTATTGTGGTCCAGTGATATTGGCACGTTGTGTGTTACACGATGCACAGTATCAAAAAAAATTATATATTATAAATAAACACGATTTTAATTTTATTTTTTTTTCATTTAATATTATCTCGTGTTAAGAAATTCGAATCATAACTAATGGGCGGTTATTGGACAGACGAGAGATGAAGCGATCCAATATGCAGATTTGATGCAGTGAACCAAGTAAATAAATAAATAAAGTTTTATATTTCTTGTTTTTATTTCACGAATAATATTTGTCTGCAAATAATTGGAAATGACTATAGAAGGACCAGTCTTTCAATTTCCCGCATATATAGGCAAGAATCATCGATGTGGAACCATCGAGAGGACCCGCCTTTACCTTTCAATTTCCCGCATATCTAGGCAATAATCATCGATGCGGAACCATCGAGATGACCCGCCTTTGCGTTTCAATTTCCCGCATATATAGGCAATAATCATCGATGCAGAACCATCGAGAGGACCCGCCTTTGCCTTTCAATTTCCCGCATATATAGGCAACAATCATCGATGCGGAACCATCGAGAGGACCCGCCTTTGGGTTTCAATTTCCCGCAAATATAGGCAACAATCATCGATGCGGAACCATCGAGAGGACCTGAGTTTGCGTTTCAATTTCCCGCATATATAGGCAATAATCATCGACGCAGAACCATCGAGAGGACCCACCTTTGCCTTTCAATTTCCCACATATATCGGCTAGCTGATTCTTCCAAGCAATTGTTTAAAGCTTTAAAGGTGTAATTTCTTCTTGACAACAAATATTGACTTAGAATTTGAATTTTAGGGTGATAGGGAATAACAATTTGTTTCTTGCTCTGCAATGAAAATTCTAAGAAATTATTGCAATGATATTCATTTCAAATTTATGCGACCAAATAATCTTTTTACATATAATTTGAGGCAAAATAATCAGGAATTTATGATAAATTCTATATGTGTTTTCCTTTCAAAGGTGGATATGTTTTTCAAAAAAATTATAATATATAGAAATTCTGCTAAATATGATTTTTTTGGAGTTTATAATCCTTGAAATACTATAGACACTGTTTCAATATGAAATTATTGGCTAATATATTTGAATCGTAATAATGATGTGTTTTGATAAATTAAACCCACTTAAATATTTGAATTTACTATATCTATATATTGTGAACGACTTGTTAAAATACATTAAATTACGAAGAACTTTCATAAACTAATTGCACTAATAATAAGAGTATACTATTTGGCAGTGTTCTAAAAAGCGTAAAGTGTGGCTAGGCGTGGAGGCTAAGTTTCAAGTTTTACGAGCCTAGGCGAAGCTTAGGCGTAAAAAAGCGTTTTTTTTATTTTAAATTTTTAA